ACAACCAGTCAATACATTCATTTCGCTGTTTAAATGACGCAACGTTTATCATTTTTCATTCAAACATTCAACAAGATAAATACCACAACCCCGCATGGAAGCATAGTTTTAAATTTTATGGAGATGGATTGGATTCTCACCTTCCCAGGTTTTAGTTAGTGCCTCCTGTGCCCTGAAATCGGAGGGCACAGGTTTTTAAAGTTTATATTTTCATCATCTCGAAGAAACGGGACAATTCTTCTTGGGAGACGTACTTTCCGTTAAGAAAATGGGTTCGAGAATGAACAGCTCGTTTCGGTGGTTCGTATTCATGTTATCACAAATCAAATGGTGGGAAATGTTTCCGTTTATTATGAACAAATATAATGAATCCCAGTGCAATCAGGTACAGTAATGCTGCTAAGAGTAATCATTATTTGCACCGTATAGTGTTTTTATAAGAGAAGCTAATGCTATGGTTGATTACGGAAGCACACGAGAACTGGTTCGTGAAGCCCTAACGGAAATTGCGAGGATTGTTTTGAACTACTGAATAGAAAATCAGTAGCATAACTCTTTCTCACGCTCATCGGCATTTAGGTACTGAAATGTGTACCCATCAAATTGTGCTTCAACCAAACAATAGTACATATCATGGATGAAATTATTGGTTCCAGTATGCTTGCCAACGACTTTGTAATGCCTGATAAGGACAGTTGCACATATCTATAATAGGGCTCATAGGGGTGTTTTTCCTTAAGAATGAATGAACAAAATTTCTCAGAATCACCCAATCGGCTGAGATTAGACGAACCTAACCCACAATGATCGTGATGATTCGTCGAGGTTTGTTTGGAATCAACAACAAATGAGATTTGCCCTGCAAGCATTCTACCAACCTGACCACCAGGCGGCTGATCAGACAAGTTTCCATTTTTCCCCTACACGATGTACCATAATTTAATTTTAGGAGCTTGTTGCGCCATCAGTGCATCGTGCATCTCAGATGGGTCAATGGAATCTCGCCATTGACTCGACCCAGTCAGATAGAAACGATTTTACGGTGCTTCCCAGCTCTTTAAGTTTTGCTTTTTTTGCTATGTACATCAGGAGATCCCTCATCTAATAGAAACAAATCCTCCAGTGCTCTCAAATATATATACATATATATTAACATGTAGAACTGTGTAGTCCCAAAATGAGAATGACATCCTTCACATAATCTTACATAGGTTATTGAAATCGAAACTTAAAAACTGAACGATATCTAAGTTTCCTAGTCACTTTACTTGTGTGGTATAAATAGTTAAGCTATGCAGTAAGTGTTGAACAGCCATTACTGCGACCTCTCTCCTTCCTTACTTTACTCGCACAGCCGACTCAACTCCCCTGGATGTACTCCATCTTAGAGTCTGATATCACATCCTAATGAATATTATGTCTATTTGATGAACATTTTAGGTATCATTTACTCGTTAACTTGTGAGTTCAGTGTGAAACAGTGACGGGATATGCGGTTATGTTACCACTCCGACTAATAATAAATATTGATAAATTTTATCTATTCTTTTCTGTAAACAATTGTTTATTTTCCGACACAAGATGATGGACTACTTCGAACGAAGTCGACTTGCACCGTCCCATACCGTACCAGGTCAACCCAGACTTCTACGTGATTTGGCTGATCCCCTGTGGTGGCGTCAGTTTACCCAACCATTCAATACGCCTGGTACAACAGAACATAGCGTTTCCGTAGACCAGAAAGACCCATCAATCGATCAAGGCCGTGGACCAGAAGAATCGGATGCAGATCATTCGTCTTATAGATCCTCCACCAGCAGTTCCTTTCAGTCACCTGCTGCACAAGCAAAACTCCCACCAGATGCGGATCCTAACAGCAGGCTGAGTTCTAACGTTCATTTGGCGACCGTACGATGTGCAAGTGCCAGTTTAAATAGTGATCAATCAGGTACCTCCAGAGCCACTTCTCGTATGGCAAGTGTCAAAGGTGACGACATCAATTTGAATCAAATAGATCGACCTAATCCATTCCCCCATATGCGACGTCAAATGTCCCTGGGTCCAGCATTTCACTCATCCTCCGGCGGGCGAAAATTGCCGGGTGTTTATGATCAGGTACCTCGGAAGCCCAGCACATCCGACCAATGATCAGTGATATTTTACATCAAAATCTTCCCTGTTTGACCAAACGAGTGTTTCCGCGGTCAGTAGAAAATAAAAGCTGGAACAGTTTATGAGGAATTTCACTAGCTTTCTGACCGCCCTGATTAAGTGTGTAAATGAAGACTGGAAGAATAGTTCATACAGTCAGCCAATTTCCTAGAACCATTGAAGCAACTCCCCCGAAAAGCTGCCCAAAAAGCAAACAACTGAACTGTGCACATACTCTCCACCAATTCTGTTAGTCTGATGCACTTAAGCCGTCGCAAAGAATCTGAAATTCCAGAGTTTCTTACTTCCGCGTGGAGAATCGCCGGCAGCTCTTGAAACTCCCACGTCTACTTTCCTGCTTGTTTGCCTGCCTTCCCTCTTAATCTCATGTGGCCTTCAACTCACTTCCCAAGTAAGCGCATTGCAGCCGGAATAAAAAGTAACGCCAACCACTTTGGATGGAAAAAATACTGAATGACTGATCGCAATCATGAGAGTTCCCTCTAGGGACATGTTCTCGTGTACCTTGATGGTCTCACATGCTCATCGCCAACCACCTGCCACTAACTACACAAAATACCTGGCTGTGCATACTGAGTGACTTTTAACAGACAGACTGTTCCTAATAGTTTGCGTGATTTCTCCAAAACAAGGGCTCCCTCTCGCTCTCGTCCAGATCAGGTCTATCTGTTTTATCTCTATCGCGCTCGCTCGCTCGATCGTTGTATACCCGACTGTTGGTCACACACACGCACACAAGAACACAATGAAGACACATACTTTTTTCTCCTTTTCACTTTCTCCCTTTCAATCATTTTTTGCATTTCTGGTCGCCTCTCGACATCGTTCATGTCAGCGTGATTGATTACCCGAAGTGTTCATGTCTGACCTATTCCTATTGCACATATAAAAGATGAGAACATAACTGTCAAATTTTGTTCTGCGTAGAATCGTAAATTTATTGAAAAACAGGAGATCGGGCATCTTGGTATAGTCAGGTTAGACGGAAAGTGAACTGAATGAGAATAATGTGAATGATGCATCAAACAGTTTGTACAGTCCTCCTGTTTATCTCATACATTTCTTGCACTTCGATATTTTTTACCAGAGACTCCACCTACGTTTGCACTTCAAATAGATGAGAAAGAATGTGTGTGAGCAACCGATCTGATCGATTTCGCCACTGCTGTCACCACAATGCGCAAAGAACAATCTACATTCATTCCTGCTGATTAAGCACTAATAACAACCAGTTAATATCCATTGGCGCTGCCACAACTTTGTGCTAGCCGCTTGTACTTCACTTGTGTGGAAATCATACTCCCTTACACAAATTGCAGTTGATCCATACATAAAACTGACCAGATAGAAACGGTTTAACTATCAAACGAACCTAATACTTGCAAGAATTACGAAGTAAACCAAGCTGCAACCATCATCTTTTGTTGCTCAATTTTGTAACTGAACCGAAGCAACCTGAGGAGTAAATTCGAACACTTCATTCCATCCTCAGAAGCAACTCCACAGATTAGGTAATTTTGAAAAGCAACCCGGGGTTAGCCCCACGGGAAAAAGGGACTACTCAAATACGATTAGGAGATTCATGGGCAAACAGGTAGCGGAATATTTGTTGCCCGATTGAAGTGCATAAATTGATCACTTGATTTGAATTCAACTCAATGTCTGTCCACGAAGAAATAGTCCGATAGAATGGACTGTTGTGAATAAGAGTCTTACCCCCATTAAGTCAACTATCTTCCGGGCGGAAAAGTTTACAATGAGGAACAACCAAAATTTTGAACGTAAAGCTTCGAAACGACAACGTGGCACCAAGCTGTTAAACTTGCGTTGATTAAGCATTCATAGTTTATTTGAACATATATCATTAATAGCAAGTTGTGCTCCCACCAACCCCTTGGTGGAAAACAAACTGTCGCAGCTTTATAATGATGATTTAACTGAAACCGATGATTCGACTAAGTCATTGTGTAGACGCCAGTAACTTCATTATTACTATCCATACTCGGCACGTTCATTGGTTGCTTAGTGTGCATTGATTTTTAGTTTATCTGTGCAGAATAAAATGAACGGTCGATACAGTCGTTTCTATCTGTGCGTGTCTGTGCATGTTTGTTCCGGTTGAAACTTATGCATGTAAGTGTGTATCAGCTTGCAAGTGGTGAAAAACGAAAACACTGGCAAGCCTATATAAGCGCAACCCCGGGACAAATACATTGACCACAGAAGTATGGCAAAGTGCATACAGTTCACTTGGCATCTTACGAATTGCCCTTGGCTTCTGAATATAACCTACCAACATGTATGCCATTATGTAAATTGTGGCATGTGCGTTGTTAGGTCCTGAATGGCCCCACAGAGCACAATTCAAACAGAGCAGTGGCGAATAAGTTCGTTTTCAGTAATTCGTAACCATGCCAGTACACAACGATGTGAATCACTCATTAGGAATAAAGTTGTCTTAACCGACCAGGTTTGTGAACACTGTCCTGAAGGGCTGAACACTCATCAATGTTTTCATCAATGCAGTGGTTTCACACCTAGCTTTTACAAATCACACTGTGAGCATAACTGAGGCTTTCCGTCCCCTGTCTAGTGTTCGTTGTTGAGTATCAATCTGGATTCGTTGTTGGATGCTAGTCTCAGAAGACGCGGTGGGAGTTCATCGACACGAAACATTCTATGTGCCCAAAAACAATTTATGCTTCCCTAGTCAACCCTACCCGTTTCTTGACTTGACTTGACATATCCTGAGTAATCTCAATGTTCGGATGCTTGATCAAGCCATTCCGATCAATATGTGTGATCACTAAGCATGATCTTCCATCCATTCCCTCTGTCCAACACAAGTGTGACTGGTGACCTTTAACATTCGTATTGATTTAGCCTAGTCGAATGTTCTGGTGAGTACATATTGATCACTGATCTCATCGAACTCTCATATGAATGTTTGTTTACAGCTGAAGAGATAGCGCAAAAACCAGTTGAATTCACCCTGTTCTGTAATTATGTTTATTCTCCCTCTTATGAAACTATGTAATCACTCGCTATCACGAAATATGTCCACTGATTAAAAACATTCAATGCGTTTTCAGTGTAATCAGTTTCAATCCTTTACAATTACATTTATATGAAATACACTTCGGTAGGGTCGAACAAAAAATCGGATATGTCATGTCTGCGTTGGAGTCTGAGAAAATTCCAAGCTGGTACGCTTCTTGGATTGCGTAATCAAGTCCGTTATCTTACGTCAATGTCCTAGTGTAGTGAGATGCTACTCACTTGTGAGTAGTAGGTAACTTTCAGTGATCAAAAATATAACAAGACCACCGAGGGCCAAGTGATGTGTCTGAAAGAATAACTACCGACTGTCCTATGCAATACTCGATGTGCCGCCAGCAACGGTATCTTTCTAATGAGATGTTTTGTGTTATGTATGGCAAATTGGTGATATCCTATCTGAAATCCTCAATAAACGATTATCCTTTATCAGTACCGCCTTTTAGAATCATGATACTAGGAATCAGCGATTTTCTCTTCCTTTGGTCAGAGTAGTTTGAGAGTCCAATGCTATTCGCCTCTGCGAAATGTTGGAAACCAAGGGAACTAGCCGACAACACACGAATCTGGACGCTCGATTGGCAAGAGCCACTAATCGACCTGATAGAATTGAACTGAACCAAACTGAACGTCCGAAACCGTTTTGTTATCGTGGGTAGTATTGGGACTCGATATATGATTGTGAATGCTGACCCCATGTCAACCAAGTGTCCCATCTCAAACAAATGAACAAGAATGGAGCTTGACACGGCTTCACTCCACCTATGTGTGAGCCGGCGTGGATTGTTTTCTTTTATCCGTTGAGATAATAGCTTTGTCGTTCGACCAACATAAATCGTACCACCGTTGAACTGGAATCGATAGACAATCATCATTGTTGGATCAATATAGGCGGCTTATCTTTGTCGTGGTATCGGATGTTTGGTGACTCAGAGAACACACTGCGACGGATAAAACCCCACTGACCTTGTCTGCGGCAACATCTCTTTTGAATACACGTTTTATATTAACAAAGAGCCTTGTTTATGTTGGCATATGCCACTCAGTCTAATTAGGAGTTGATAACCTACTAAGGATAGCCATTTTCCATCAAGTTTATTTTCACGATAGTTCAAGTTCGTCCTTTCAAGTACCTTCTAAACAGATACGCCTTGCTCTCTGCAGGCGACGGTGTACAAGATTACTTGTTGTATGGAGTGTGACGAAACTGTGCAGATTCGTGCACTGTCAATTCCAGGTTACTGTTCTGTATATTTTCCTCTGGGTAGAGCATTTTGGAGGTCTAGTCAGATGAACATCCAAAAACGGGAGATAATCATTTTCCTCATTGTTCAGATGTAAACTTAATTGACGAATGGGTTACACTGAATTCTCACCTAACATGGTCGAATGTGGTGTTTTCGTCAGTCACACAAAAGATGTCACCTACTTAACGATCATATCGTTAAAAAACTAACAGCTATGGCCATGAATGTCGTCAAGAACTGTTCGAAAGGTGAACCCATGGCAACGCTATTGATTTGGTGATATAACGTGTAATTAAATTGTACACTTTTTGCATTTGAGCATGAGTAATTTGGAATTTGTGCCTGAGATATCTTCTTGGAAACAGTTGATTTTATTTTTGAATTGATCAACACTGGTACCACTGTCCTCCAGCTAACACTGTCCATTGATTTGGAAGATAGAATCCGCCTGTCTGCGGTATTGCGCCATATTCTTCGAAGGCATTGGGTCTTTGCGCACACGAAACCACAGAGGCGATAATCTTTCATTAGTTTTCGCATTGTGGACTGGGTGTCAGAGCAAATTAATAACCAAACTTTGCCACAGAGTGATGGACTTTTGAATGATTCATTTTGGCTCTCTCCGTTTTTCATCTCAATGGATAAATCTATATCCGTACCTGGTAATCCATT